CAGCTTCATATACAATGTAGACGGCCCATCCAAAGAAAAATTTACCGTTGACAAGGGCCAATTTAATTAATCCCCTTGCAACTGACCATCAAAAAATTTCTCCCATTTGGCGGCTATTTGAGGACAGGAAAAGGCCAAGGCGCCAGCATAAATTGCGCAGTGATCCTTAAGTTGATGCATGTTGACCTGGTGTTGCTCATCCCTCAACAGTCTCTTCTCAAATGTTAACGCCATGCCTGTTGAGGGGATTGCAACCAACAAAGTGGAGTAAGTATTGCTATACTCAATTGTAATCCCCTTTACGGCCTGCAGATGGCGCCGCCTCGGGACGGAGTATAAGCGAAATCCACGCCTGATCGGTGTCTACAATAAAAGGGAAAACCAATTGTGTGCTGAATGGTAAAGCAACTTTTCCGCCTCACTCCGACCAGATATACTCCAGCAGAGGAGTAGTACGAAATAATAGTTTTTTCAGTAGCTCCACAGGCAAATTTGCCTTCTGCTTCACCGAGAGATATGCATTTCGAAGGGTGTACGGCAGTGGGGAGGCTAATGGGAAACAAGGAAAAACAGTCTCCACAACCAGGCTCGTGGCAAGTGTAGGAAAGCTGAACATGATTGCCGGGATTCTTATATTTGTGAGTTGCCATGGCAACAGTACAGCCCGAGTTCGGCGATTGCGTGACGGCCGTTTATTAAGGTATATATATAGCATCAACTACTAATCTCAATTGTCAATGATTACCAAATGGGTAAAAATGTTGCCAGATTGATCACTCTTTTAAGAGCCGAATTATTGCTTTAGGCAATGCAAGATGATCTGCTCCCACAGTGCCAGTGTTCCCCGAAGAAGTTTCCTGTCCAGAACACGGTTTCGAATTCATTCAGACTTACTCCCAAGCTCAAACAGGACTCCAACCAGACATGACATAAGACCAGAACTTCCTTAAGCCAAAGGTTAGAACACGAGCTGACGTAGAGGATGTGCAAATAAATGGTACATTTTCAAGAAACTCCTTCGCAGCTGCAAGCAGATACAAGTGTTCTAATCTATTTTTCGCAACTTGGTTGTGTTTTCAGGGTTAAATAGTTTGAGGAATCCTGTTCTACTTTAGTATACACGATACTTTCCAGCGTCGGATCGTGGAATGGGTACATTATCAGACATTTCGCCGGCCTCATCAGTGAGTCTTAGCACCAAAGTACAGCTCATCTAAGGGACAATGGAAGTCAATCCCATGACCAACTTCCTCCTGTTCTGGTACAGCTGCCTACTCCCTATTCTTGTATCTCTCTCCCTCACTAGCACAACTTCAGAATTGTTTACATTCGCACCCGCTTGCCTACCATTCCTCTCTGCCCCGAAGAGGCATAACTAGTTCTTATTACTTGGTTAGTGGTTGACTGGTTTCACTCGTTTCCGCTGACCATATACATTTAACTCATACCATCACTTCTCACGATCTTCCCCAAGACTTTGGTAGCACTGGCTCTGATTCCAATGCTAGCAGATATCAGGCGTAGTCTCAACGGCCCAGCTCTATGATTCAACCCAAATGGGAAAATGTGTTCGCCATATTTCGTTTAAGATGATGAAGGACTGGTAGTTGAATTTTCCCACAATCATATGAGTAGACCTTACGTTTCTGTTGAATTTCACATAGCCCTGCTTCCCAAAAGGCACTCTCATCCATGCTGAAGTGGACTGCAGTTTCGACCTCGCCTATTCTGGTCTCATCAGCACCTCCAGCGGGACTCGAACCATGACAGTGCAGCGTATAATCTCAACACGTTAACCAATAAGTCACAACGTCACCAGCATTTTAACATATCACACTTTGTGATGTGATTGTCGATGAAGTACACTTATATTTGTTATGGCAAGTGACTTCGTTACTTATTTATCGTTTGTAAGTAGGCTGTCGAGACTACTAGTAAATCATATATATGAGATGTGTTCACCTTCCTTCAGCACCTTAAACGAAAAATGGTGAATACCTCCCATATATCTGATTTACTGGTAGTCTTGAAAGCCTACTTACAAATGGATTTACAGTCAATTTGTCTCCGATCTATTGGCAATCATGCCGAACTCTTGTCAATGTTGTGATTATCCGTCCCCCTGTTCCTTCGGCCGCTTGGTCCCTAAAGTTTTCGCGGACTACATTCGCTAAACTCCTATTCTATTGATTTCCAGATGTTCGTCACCCTTTTCCTTTGGTTAGCGACAAGTCCTTGATCCAGGCATCCTCTTTTTTGGTCTTATCGTGTCCTATCGTAACATGACTTTCCATCTCGAAGGAAAAGTTGGTTGGAAGTAATTCGTGAAATGGTCCAACCGGAAACCAAAAGAGGATTGTCATGGAATGAAGAATGTTGGATGAGGCAAAGAAGTCCTCAGTTCACTGGCAGTTTTTCGTCTTTCTGTGACGAACATCATCAGATCAAGTATCTATAATTTAGGAAATAAGACAAAATCAATGAAAAAAGATGGCCACTTTGTATACAACTGACCTTGCCATCTTAATGAGGCATCCGATGATTTGGTGGCCACCTCAACTTTATTCCGAATGCATGAAGATGAGTGAAGTTAGTTCAAGAACCGGAAGTGAATTCGGTCGCAGTTGTTTCCTTACAAAAATAAATAAATTAGCGATGTCAACTAATGTTGACTTATGTTTAAACATGTACTATTGTCTAGTGTGCGCATGTAATGTTCATACCATGTTTTAGCTAGACTCGATATCAATTCAGCCTCCTCTTCTTCCTGCTCTCTCTTTCCATGTCTGTCTTCAAGCCTATCAAACAGCCACAAATAGTTCCTACTCAATGTTTTACCCTCGTTCCTTCTATTCAGGGCGTTGGCCGTTTTGTCCATTTCTATAGACTCTCTGATCTTACGCGTTGACGTGAAGTCCTCGTAACCCACAAAACGTTGTGCTTTGGACCAGTTTTGTGTTTGCATATTCTCTTCTGCATGGGTTGGCAGGTCTACCCCACATTAGCTGTACCATATGAGAGCAAAACCTTGTTGTGGCCTGATCTAGAAAGAGGGTCTGCAAATTCTCGAAAGGAAGGTACGATTGAATAAAGTGTTAATTTATATTTATGCATAGTTCTGATGTTCCGATTCCTCAGTAGGACTCCCAACTTTTTCACAAGCTGACAGGAACCGAAAAGAATGATTTATCTGTTTATCCTGTTACTGAGTATTGAAATGGGATTATCTATTAATCGTAATGGGTAATTGTTTTGAAACAATATATGCCTCACTCTACCGATTTCCTGGTTCCTGCGGTCTATGTCTGCTAGACTCAGACTCCTTATTATCATTGATTTCATAACTCCTACTTTAATCCCATATGTATGATTGGATAAGAAATTGAAAAGGAAACCCGTATGTGTGGGTTTCCTATACACATCTCTGTCAAACTTATTACTTTCTTTACTCACTAATCCATCCAGAAAAGGCAATTTATTCTCCTTTTCTAACTCCATGTTAAACTTAGTATTGGCATCTATTCTTTT